AATGCACCTTAACTTGTTAAAGAAGACTTTTGCAGCTTGACAGGTTAACAGAAGTAATGTATCAGCTATTTTAAATACTGAGAACCAATTAAGCACTGCATCCTGATATTTACTCAACCCCATGTAATCCCTCACAATTGCTTTGTATGCCATGAATGACCTGCTATACTATTATTATCAGTTAAGGCTGAGATTTTATAATTTTTGCTTAAACCATGCAAAACAATGTGTACTGGGTATATAGCAGTGTATCATCTGATCGATGAAATTCTTTATGTGTGCAGTACATTTTCCAATGTTTGCAGTTCTCATAGCCAGTTCAAAATTACAAGTGAAAAAATATCTGTACACTGAAGGACTGAATATCGGAAAACCAGGTCCACCTTGCAAAATACTATGGACAATAATTGTTCCGATATATTTCATAATTCCTGATGCAACAACACCAGCATTATATACTGGACTTTGGTAGGCATCACCTTCAAAAAATATTTCACTCACTTTATTGAGCAAATTTATAAAAAACTGCCTGGCGACCCCTCCAGTATCAACTGCTGGTTGTCGTTTGTAAATAACTCTCAATGGTTTCCTTTCATCAAAATTGGGATCTTTATAATAGGACATTGCATCACTAAAAAGGTCCTCCTCTTCAACTTTCAATTTTTATTTTTCTTTACATAGTTTTTGTTTTGAAAGATCTTTAAGCATAGAATCTATTGTTGCCTCTTCAGACAAAGAAAAGACACCTTGAATAAGAACTTCATCATCAGTATCATCATTAATTGATAATAATTGCTCGTTGCTTTTTGCAGAAAGTGCCAAAGCTGCTCTATCTACAGTCCCACTTACTTCTAAAGCATGATGTAACACATCATCATCCTTATTTGGAAACATTTCTTGTAATGTAGCTTCACTCCCATCATTACTTGTTATAGATGAAGAGCAAGGCTCATTGTTATTGAAAACTTGCTCTTGACTGGAATCTAAAGAGCTTGCCATATCCAAAGATGTTTCAGAAAATGTTTCTATTCCTGGACTAAATGTACCTTCATCATCATTGGGAAGATCCTCCTTTGGTCTTATATAAATACTTCCTTGTCCGGAAAGGCTTAAAAACTCAAGCAGAAGTGAATTGAACACCTCCTGCCAGTTTTGGAGTGACAATTTGTCCATAACAAGATTTGACAAAGTCAATATCAATATTATTTTCTTCTAAGATAGGAAACAATTCATATATTTTGTTTTTCAGTTCAGACTCTTCCTAAGACTTGTCAATTGGGCATCCATGTACTAGAAATCCTTTATTTTCAAGCTGACATCTTGTTTGATGAGTTGGTATTGATTGAGATGTGGAAGATGGAAGTAGGACAAGATTTTTGTGAACAATACAATGTGCGAGAAGTTTCGAAGGTATATGAAAAGTTTAGAATGTCCTACAGCAAGTTTCGGACATATTTTATAGATTTATCTCGAAGTATATAAAATTTGCCATAAATAATTTTAGTAAGTTATGTTGTATTGTAAGTTTAGAATAAAGTCCAATTTGGCGCCTCATAAAATCACAGCATAGCTTTAAAAGTAGCTACGCACAACTTTTTCCGGATGCGCGTCAGTCGTTACGACAAATTCAACTTAGACAATCATAATTCAGAAAACATGTCGAAAAGCATGAGGCCGTTGTGAAACAAGTTAATCTACGCAAGGAGAAAATAGTGCAGCCACAAAGCAAATACAATGTCCAAATTTTCATAAATATTTGTCAGCTACGTTGATTTTGATTTTCAGACGAGCAAATTTTTTTTGACAAATTTTTATGTGGCAAATGTCATTTGCCCGTCTGTATGAGAATTTTTAAAAAAATTTTTTTTGACAAATGCATTTGTTCAAAAGCTAGCATGTCAGCTTCTGAACAAATGCATTTGTCATAGAAAATTTGAGAACATGAGTGATTTTGTTCGTCTGTAAGGTCTACAAAGATAATAAGACAAATCAACCAAATGTGATACGTTGATACGTACAGACGATCAAAGAAAATTCGCCACATAAAAATTTGTCGTAAAGATTTTATTGCCCGTACACACGTACATGCGAGTATTTGTCACAGAAAATTTGTTCGTATCTAAGGAGCTTTAAATTAGATCAAAGGTACACACATACTCAACAGGGTAGATAAAGTCTTACACACCTGAATTAAGAGAAATCGTCCAGATCAGTTTTACACCACGAGATGTTTGCAAACTATAAGAAACAAAAGATGCAGTTTGGTCGAGTTTTATGTTGATCGCATCAATAAAAACAACCTTTATAAACACTCAGTCACGTACGTAGCACAGTTAATAATTTTAGGTGATCAACAATAGAGCTAATTTTTCCAATGCTTTCTGCATAAGTGAAATAAATTCGTCAAGTTCTGAAAGAAAGTTTTAACGAACATAGACGCTGTGTGATTCAAAACAACTAGTGACAGCAATATTTATACGAAAATAAGAGGCAGTATAAATAGACTGCAGACATGTAAATTAGTAAAAACATCCTTTTAAATAAAACATCCTTTAAATAAAACTTCCGCCTCTGGTATAAATAGACTGCAGACGTGTAAATAAGTAAAAATTTCCTTTTACATACCTTCCATAAGAACTGCAAGCCCACGCAAAAAATTATCTTGTGACGTATACACCGTTTTCTTTTTATTTGGGTTTCATTACTTGAACCATTTACCTTGTACCGTTCACTAAAATTTCTTTATGCATAACTCCTTTGAAAAAAATAAAGATGTCTTTTTTATAGCATGTATAGTCTTAATACTTGAATTGACGGTTTTGTGGAGTTCACGAACAAACGCAAAGAGATGTAAGTAGCCTGTCAACTTTCGTGGGAATAAATTCGTCAAGTGAAATAAATTCGTCAACTTCTGAAAGAAAGTTTTAACGAACATAGACGCTGTTTGATTCAAAACAAACTAGTGACAGCAATATTTATACGAAATTATAAGGCAGTATAAATAGACTGCAGACATGTAAATAAGTAAAAACATCCTTTTAAATAAAACTTCCTTTTACTTAGTTAAAAGTTCCTTAGTAAAAAGTTCCTTTTACTTAGTTTAACTTCCTTTTACTTAGTTTAACTTCCTTTTACTTAGTCTTAATACTTGAATTGACGGTTTTGTAGAGTTCACGAGCAAACGCAAGGAGATGTAAGTAGCCTATCAACTTTCGTGGGAATGGAGAATTCCGCAGTGGACGGGATCTTGTAAATGTGTAACAAGGAGAGAGAAAATCGGCATTAAGATTTCGGGCTTTACACGAAAAGCTGTTCATAAGAACATAATTGCAGCTTTTACATTGAACAAAGACGATGTTCGTTTGTCGGGAGATTATCAATCTCAGGTGTACTGGTTGAACTTTGACAGGCTTGAATCCACATTATCAAACTACGACAAAACCATGAAATTGAGACCCCCCCCCCCAAAAAAAATGGCATTGACGTTATTTTATTGACATACGAAGCAGGACTATTTCACCTACCTTCTTTCCAAAACACTTGTCTTCAGGCATTTTTTGCCGTCTTGTATGCCTTTTTTTGTCGACTTTTAAAAGCATTCGCCGATGCGTCTACATTTTCATATCCATTGATGACAAAATAAGATTACATCCAGTCTCGTTAAATAAATAATGAATAGATATTTTTCATACAGGCATTCTGTAAAAACTCTAATTTGCCGCCATTGCAGGCCCTATTGCAAAGTGTCGTCGTTCTCTGTTCGATAAATTACACTCCTCGTTCTTCGTATGTATCTTGATTGTAGTATCACCGAGCAATACATTGTAGTTCAGTCCCAATCGAAAAAATTGAAAAGACTAACGGCATCTGTAGAAGAAAACCTCTCATGGCATATTTAGGAATTAGGAGGGAATTTCAAAATGTCTCAAGTCTAAAATTAACGTGTACGTCACGCGTGATCTTCGAGAGAAACTTGCTGGGGGGGAGGGATATGTATATCAGGAAGGTTTTCTTCTCTTGCCTTCAAAATTATTACATTAAATTCTTTTAAAAAGGTTTTTTTGGTGCAAAATATACTTTTCCTAAAACATTGATTGCTTAGTTTCATATGCATTTTATTTCTTACTAGTTATAAACGTTAAATATTGCTACAATTTTAGTTGTTTTATATTAGCAAAAAAGCAAACACATAAGATTCCATCAGCAGTCAAATACAGCATGAGCACCTTGAATAAAACATATTGTAATATCGTAGATCGGGATTTAGATAGTGCAGTCATAAAACACAATTAGTAAAATTACTGAACTCAATTTCCGAACTGATACAATTGTTTACCGTCTACATAGATTTTGTTAACATTCTTTACTTTATATCATCATATGTAAATGCACATGAACAACAAAGCGTAATATAAGTCTTACGCTCTCGTTTGAATTAGAATCGTGCACATTTTTTCAAATTAAGATAAGTTCGCTACCTATAACAAAAAAAAAAAAAGATGCATTTTGGTTCAGTGTTGGCAGTTTTAAACTAAATCAATGATTTCTTACCTTTACTAACATACAGCCTCATGCACAGTCAATAATAACCTAATTCAATTTTTTTGGCAAGTTTATGCAAAATCGCACGAGAAACTATGAGGAAACTATTGATTATTAATAATATATATGAAAATATTTCTTAATTCTGTTGATTTTTAACTTCAGCGTATGTATTTCAGCCGGCAAGTTATTAATACAAATCTACATTGGTATTTACTAAAAATAGCCCTGCTCTAAACCATTCAGAATTGAGAAATTTTTCATGTATAAATAATACACGTGAGTACTTATGTTTAGAAATTACGAATTGCTATTATTTCATATCTGTTATTGTCCTGATTTTGGCATCAGATCTTCTGAATTCATACGACTGTATCGCCTCTTCGATTCCTGAAAAAAACGGCGAGAATCTTTTTGTTTGTTCATTCTCTTTGTTCTTCTGTAAAGACTCCTGCCTCTCTTTACAATCTAGTTAAACAATTGCAGCAGTTCATTTAGTTATAACAGTGACGTAGCCAGCCTCTATCTTTGGGTGAGAGCTCGTAGACGCATACCTGACTCATGTTGCTCTTGTCTCCTCTGGATTAAAGGTTTCTATGCTCTCACTGTAACCTAGTTAAGAAAATACAAAAGTACGTAAGGGCAACAGCTTCTCCACTACTTACAATGTATGTATAAACAACAAAGAACAAGAACAGTCTTTAAATTCCCTAAAATACAAACTATGGAACGTAGGTCAAAGTAGGTAGGGATGTATGAACAAAAGAGAACAAGAACTGTCTTTACATTAACTAAACTAAAATAACGTGTGTCAGTGTATGTAGTAATGAATGAACAACAGAGACAGAGATCAGTCTTTGAATTAACTAAAATAAAAACTAAGATAACGTGTGTCAGTGTAGGTAGTGATGAATGAACAACAGAGAACAAGAACAGTCTTTACATGGCTTTGAAGTGTGTTTGTGGAAAATTCAGTAAAATTTTTACAAATAAGAAATGTTACCTCGAAATTCAGTAGTAGCGTTTCGTTTATCTTGACTCATTCGGACATACTCCATTGATCTTCGATTCCTTTCCATTGTAAATTCGTTTTGAATCTCTAACATTTTATTTTGCAAAACAGCATTCTGCTTTTGCAAAACAGCATTCTGTTTTGCAGTTCTTTCACCATTTCAAACAACGCTGACATGTCTTGCTTCTTTCCCATTTCTTCCCGGTTCTCATCGAGTACATCTGTAAAAACATCCGGACCGTAAAACATAAAATCCCAAACTGCGCGGGTAAAGTTGGATGTCTTATTGGGTCTCTCCTGGAAACAAGGTATGAGTGTTTTTCTACTTCGCCATGGAAATAAAGACCACTTCCGTTCCATGTCAATTATCATTTCCGCCTAAATCAATTAAAAGAAAAATGTTATAAATGTCATAACGATTACTTTTATTGACCTCATTCATTCATCACCACATACACCGTTATCTTAGTTTAAGTAGTGTAAAAATTGTCCCCGTTATCTGTTTTCATTAATCACTACCTACAATGACACACGTTATCATAGCTTATATTATAGATCGTGCAAAGACTGTTCTCGTTCTCCATTGCTCATTCATCACTACCTACACCGACACACGTTATCTTAGTTTATATTTTAGATACTGTAAAGACTGCTCTTGTTGTCTGACGTTCATTCATCACTAACTTCATTGACATACGTTATCTTTAGGATCTAATTTGATAGCTTCATTAATATCCTTACCGTTTGAACGTGTTTCTGCTGCTTAGCGTGTTGCATAACCTTATTGTTGGTACCATCAATGGCAAGGGCAAGCAGAAGGTTCATAATAATGATAGGCATAACGACGAGAAAACCAACAAGGAGGACCAACTGTAATGGATAAAATGTGTTGTAATCAGAGTGGTCACCGAGAAATGTCTCTTTAAAATCAAACTCTCCCATCGTCATCGTTGCTCCAGTTAAGATAGACACGCCAAACGTCTCAAATCCCTGTCTATCATTCATTATTACTGTAAAAGCGGCAGCAAAAGCGACCAAGAAAAATATTAAAAGACCCATGACCTAAATAAGAATTGTTGATATCATTAAACATTAGGGTAGAGGAGAAGTCATAACTTCAGCAGACGAACCTTGATTAGTGTGAAAGAAGTTTTCCTCATCATGAGAATAATTATACCGTAGGAGGCAAACTTTTTAAATACATAATAAGATTTATCCAAGCACAGAATAACGCTACAGAACAGGCCATCCATTGAAAACTTGTCTTTACAGACATACTGTCGTTACTTGGTACAGCAAAGATGAATGTTGATACGTAGAGAACACATTCCAAATAGTTGACTTTGTCCATAAGATAATTGAATTTGTAAAAGAATAACTACATAATTAAATAGAGTATATCAAGAGATCAAATTAAGCGTAGACATATTCTGTAAATTCCTTTTTAACGATTTCGCCATTCTTATACAGGGGAAAGGACAAAAAATTCAGCCCTATACACAAAAAATTATTGTTATAGGTTTGTAGCTCGTCATTTCGTACAGAAATGTTATAGAAATGAAAGATTGCTGTTGAAGATAAAATGAAACAAAATACTAATACTGCCAATTAAAACTGTAACGTTCATCACTAAATTAAAATAAAACTAAAAAGATAAATAAACTTTAACAAAAAGCAGCCATATTGTTGACGTCATGCTATTGTTGTTCTGCAACTGCAAGGTTATCAATCACACCTTCACTGAGAAAGCCTATGTTTCAAGGCAAAATACATACGTTTTCATTCTACGTATCATTCTGCTGTCATGAATAAGTCTCATTTTTTGTTGGCAGTGCCTAATATTTTATAACAGCTTTGCAACGAGCACAAACATAAAGCGGTATTTATAATATACATGGTTTATATGAGGGAACTTTTACGAGCACAAACTGAAAATGCTAACCTGACCGATTTCTTTCAATGTTTGAACGCCAGCAGATATGAGACAGATAAGCATCGCTACCTTAACATTTATCGACGCATTTGGTAATTCTAAACACAAATAGTTTCAATAACGAAAACATAAAACTAAACAAATTCAAGAAAATCGTGAAATAATTAATCTCCTCGAAAATGTTTTCGGGAACCACTGAGTATTTTAATTAAAATACATAACAACGGTAACTCCAAATATCGTAAGGATTTTGATTCAACATTTCTACTCTATTTAGTCATCATCAGGAATGATTATATTAAATGCGTACGCAGTATATAGATTTTTGATTTGTTGTCTGTAGTAGTATGTTCGTGTAGTCTTGTGTCGAGGAAAGAGAGAACTATCTGTCTTCTGTTAACTTCATCAAATCACATAGAGTCTACATATAATGCATTCACATGTAACATAATCATTTCTGATGATGACTAAATAAAGTGGAAACGTTGAATCAAAATGTTTACGTTACTTGGAGTTACCGTTGTTATGTATTTTGATTAATCTTCACATTACCATCTTTGTCAACAGACGCCTTATATGAAGGAATTCCAAACGCGTAGACGTTAAGAGAAACCAAAAACAAGAAATAAGACATAAAACTTGCTATGTTCATTTTCCATCCAAATTCCATCCATTTGTTTTTAAGGTATCTAAGGCAGACAGGATGACATAGGCATTGGTAACTGTCATTTCGCAACATCGCTTTGATGGCGGTCAATGGCTTGAGTTTTTTACCTCCCTTGTTTGTAACTGCGAAAAAAGGATAACTATAAGGAAAGCCTTGTGAAAAAGGAGACAGAGGATGTACACGATGAAAACAGTAAAATGAAAACATGGTTCTAAAAAGCGTAGTCAGTGGCTATGTCTATACAAAATATCTTATTCAAATATAATATAAATAACCCAATCACGTGACTGTTTCTTTCATCCAACCTTGGCGACTTTTTGCAGACAATACAATACTTCATCAGTATATGGAAGCGATGATGTATAGACTGGTGGTGGTGGTGATGATGGTGGTTGTTGTGGTGGTGTTGATAGTGATGGTGGTGGTGGTGGTGGTTGTTGTGGTGGTGGTGGTTGTTGTGGTGGTGGTGATGGTGGTTGTGGTGGTGGTGGTTTTGGTGGTTATGGTTGTGGTGGTTGTTGTGGTGATAGTGGTTGTTGTGATTGTGGTTGTTGTGGTGGTGGTGATGGTGATGGTGGTGGTGGTTGTTGTGGTGGCGATCATGGTGATTATAATTGTTTGTTTATACTTTTTAATTGTACAAATTAAGAAAATACAGAGCAATAACATTTTCTTTGTGTAGAAAACATTGCACACACCCCACTTGGCGGAGCCATTAAGCGTAATAGGTACTACGAGAATTGTAGCATTCTCAACTTTTTAACGTTTTTTGAGAACTTTCTTTTGATTATGTTGAGATTCAAAAGTAGATCTTTATTTTCTATATGAGATAGCTTGCTCACCACACCTGCAGTTTGTAAAAACAAAAAGTCGTATTCAACCAAATAGTCAGTACTCTCTGGGTGTCCTGTGGTTTTCATGCTGTTAGAAAGAGCTCGATACGCCACTTCGGACATATTCTTAGAAATCAACTTCGCCATCGTTCCTTCTGGACCATTTTTTGTCTCGTAAATAATCTGAAAACAGGTTCGGTGTTGTTCGTAAACGACAGTTTGTCAAAACACAACAACACCAGTACACCGAAGATTCACAAGAATAAAAAATATGTTGAACATATACTTACTGTCAAACCGAATGCTATGCCCTCTACCGAATTGCTACACTGGCAATAAAATCAAATACATTATAATGAAACATACACTTTCCCATCTATCATGACACATCATCACCATAGCGCTTTTTGTATCGTCATTCATGATGGCCCAATCCAAACAGTTAAAAAACTCATAATCATTTGTAATTTTCGCCCATTTATCTAGCAAATACTTCACAACATCTGCTTTGCCTTCCACAGCTGCTGTAAGCAATGCTGTTCGTTTGTATATATTTTCCAAATTGATCATTGCTCCGTTATTCACAAGACATTTGACGACCTCTGGGCTACTGTACTTCGCTGCTGTATGAAGCGGTGTTTCCCTGTCGGCATCAAACTTGTTGATCAAAGCTGGTTCATTGGCTAGGATTAATTCAACCACATCAGAGTTCTGTGAACTAACAGCGCAATGTAATGGCGAACGAAAATTGTTCGTGAAGACATTCAGATCAGCGTTATATTCTAACAAAATACGGACACTCTGAAATAAAGAAATGAGCCTCCTGTAATGTACTTGTGTATGTCTTGACTTAATTTCAAAGCAAAGCAACCCACTTACCTCAAGTACTCCTTTTAAGGCGGCATTATGAATGGGAGTATAACCGTCTATCTCTTTCTCGTTAATAAGCAACGGCACGAGATCTTTTTCTACATTGTGTTTGATTATGATTAAAATTTAAGCTTCGCTTTTATCTCCAAACAAAACGATAGCAACCAAGTGCAAATTGTATACCTTCAGCAAAATTCTCAATGTTTCAGGATATGCAATTGCATAGTGAAGAACCGTTCTATTGCTGTCATCACGAAGGGTAAAATCAGCTTTCAATTTAAGCAGTTCTTCAACGACACGAACATGACCGCGTTGAGCGGCAAGGACCAAGGCAGACTGGGAGTTTTTCGTCTTTTCATTGAGAAAATCTTGGATTTTGATCCAATGTAAGAGACAATATCACTGTGATTATTGATTGCGGCTCTAGAATGAAATAAATTGTCAAAGTGATAACGTCAGGCTTAAGTCCAAAAGTCCTGAATGATTAAATGTACAGATGATACGAATGAAACGTAAAACCTACTTATGAATCGGGGTGAATCCTTGTTTATCCTTTCTGTTCAACTGAAGGAAGTCCAAATGTCCCATGACTTCCATAAATCGAAATAAACTCTTCTTCATGCCATTTTCGCAAGCCGCATGAATCAATAAATCATGTCTGATTTCTTCGCGCAAATCTTCACGAATCACATCTTCATCTTGCAGACAAACTTGTACAATGCGTTCATCACCACTGTCCACAGCAACATGAAGTATATTGCGGTGAAACAGGCCACCATAATCCTCGCTGAACAATAACTCTTGCATTCTGCTTTTTTCTGAAATAGAAGTGTTTTATAAATACATAGGCAGCAGAAAGGGAGCGACTGACCGCCGACTGTACCTATCGTTCAATCAAATAACATTTTCACATTTCAGGAGGACAAACGAAAAATCCTTAATCCTTCTGCCGACGACGAAAGTCATTAAACAAAATACACATATCATTTTGCAAAAATCGTTTTACCGTGTTTCAGGAAAAGTTCAAGCATATTAGCATGTCCTTTAGCAGCAGCGATGTACACTGGACATCTTCTTATGATATCAACCTTTGTTATCTTTCCACCGTGTTCTAGCAACACCTTGGCGATCTCAACATGGTTGAACGTTGCGGCAAAATGAAGTGGCGATCGGGCATTCACGCTTTCAACATGGTTTACAAGATCAACAATGATGTCATGTTGCAACAAGTTACGAAGAAAAGCTACATCACAAAGAGATAAGGTGATAATGAAAATCTCAGGCACTCATGTTGGCCTCGCACTGAATCAAACCCCCCTCTCCATCTTGGGCCCTTTGGCGTGTTTTAGTAATTAATATTTCAAATATTATATTGCGGATAATACATTCTCGGTTGAAGAAAGAATGGTTATTTCATAGCATGTCTCTTACGTTGTTAGTAAATTGCTTTCAAATGCATAAAATAGCATTTACAACGATGCAGTTTTAAAATTTTACTTGGGAAGGGTATTTCAGGTCCCTCTGCCACATGGCTCACGCTTAACGGGTGTCTTGAGATTGGTGCCTTCCTGTGTAAGATCCTTAAAATATCCCTTGGCAAAGAGTATAACTATGAAATACCTTGGCCTACAACAAAATTCAACACAGATAACTTGCTACGTAGAGACAAACAACTATATGAATACGTGAATGGCAACTGCATGGTAGTGGGTAAAATTACTTCGTGATTAGTTAGAGTAAGGATTGGAGTTAGCACGAGGCTAGTGTAAGAATGCCAAGAGTGATTCTATACATAATTGCTCATAGGTATGACCTACATTTTAAAGCAAAGTCATCCATTACAGCAGTGACAACAAGCTTGATAGTATGTTAATATCAATCAAATTTCACAAAAAACATTTCAAGAAAATTTTGCTTTCAACAACTTATCAAACAGAAAAGCTTAAGTCCGAATACGCAGCATGGCTTCTAGCCTTACCTACGTCACCCATTCCGGTGGCTACATGAAGTACACTCTCTCCGTTCTTAGCTATCACACACTTGGGGTCTTTTGCGTAATTTAACAAGGAAGTAAGAGAATTAAGACTACGCCACTCCAAAGCGTAAAATATACATGGTTGTCCTCTTTCATCAGTTTTCGAGAGCAATGTTTGAACTACAAAAGAACATTTAAATATTGAGCTGGTTGAAGGAAAAGAGATTAATATTTCATCAACGAAATACTAACTTTCACGGTCACTTGTTTTTTCTCTCAAAATATTATTGATCGTTTTTTGGTCGTCATAAATTGCCGCCAGTTTCAATTGATCAGCTAAACTATTTTGCACCTTACTCCCGTTTTCGTCAACGTCAAACACTATGGGAATGGACCCTGCAAGTTCTATCGTGCCTTGCTCATCAATGGGTTTCAGTCTGGCCAGGGCAGCACGATTGACTTCACTTGATAAATCATAGTCCACGCTTCTCTGGCGTCGTGGAAAGCCCACGTGCCAACGCGATCTCACGTGGTTCGCCATTCGTGACAATTATCACTTTGAAAAATGCACAAAAAATTCCAATGAGCAAACAACAGGAGCGGCAGAACTTAGAAAATTGGGCGGCTCATATTCATATATTCATATGTTAAAATCTGTACTCACTTATTGATTTAAGTAGAAACCAATAAAGAGGAAGATGCGTGTATGAATATGCTTTGCCTACTAAATTATCAATTTTCCATGGTTTACGCGCTTTTTTCTCAAATTCAAAATGGCGGGTTTAGGAGGCATTGGAGGCTCGGAACACAGTCTTTATTTATTCTTTCAGAACTAAAGCAATTATTGCTGAAGCAGAGCATTTTATCATTTCAGAACACCTATTTTTTGACAATATCGACGGTTTAGAGCGCATAAATGAGCGACTTTCAGATACTGGGGACATTGTTTTCACGTTAAAACAGAGAGCATTAAATCTTATAAATGATTTTGATATGGCGAGTTTTTATGATATGCACCAGTTATCCTTTTATTTAAGTCGACTTCAGAGTTTCTTTCATAACCTTATCAACGACCTTCAGAATCAGATACCTTATACTCCAACCTACAATTGCCATAGAAGGTACACAGGCACAAGAAGTCAACGGCGACTCGAAATATCTAAGAGATTAGTAGAATTTCTTAGGAATTGCCTTTTCTTGGACTAGAATTGCTGAATTATTGGGTATCTCAACAAAAACATTACAACGAAGACGTGTAGAGTTTCAAATTGATGTAGAAGAATCTTGGTCTACCATAAGTGACATTGAACTTAGCGAAACAATGCAAGAGATTATGAGTGTTACTCCAGAAATAGGACAAACACGTATGGTAGGTGCACAGAGGAGCCGAGATATAAGGGTGCAACAGTCACGTGTGAGGACATTAATGCGTGAATTGGGTCCAGTTGGAAGAGCACTTCGTTGGCGGAGAGCAATTCGCAGAAGAAATTAAAATGTAGGTACTGCAAATGCTCTGTGGCACATCGACGGGAACCATAAAATGATTCGCTGGCGAATGGTGGTTCATACATCCATTGATGGCTATTCAAGGTTGATACCCTATTTAAGCTGTGCTACTAACAACAGAGCAAACCCAGTTTTAGATTTATTCCAAAACGCATGTCGCTCATATGGATTACCTTCATGAGTGAGATGTGATCATGGACTTGAAAACGTGGCTGTTGCTCGAATGTTGTTGGAAAGCCGTGGAACAAACAGGGGAAGTATCATCACAGGTGCTTCAGCTCACAACCAACGAGTTGAAAGGCTTCATAGAGATGTTACTACTTGAGGGCTATCGCCTTTGCATCTTTGGTGAGAAAGCATTGTAAGATGTGCAACACAAAGCAACTCAAATTTAGACAACGTACTATCAAGCGATAAAGTTGAATCATATGAAATAGAAGCACGTGATGAAATTGAAAATGTAGCTGGTGTGGTTGTACCTGAAACCACACTAAATTTAACTGAAGATCAGTCTGCCTATATTACAGCTTTATCAAGTAAAAACAACAACTTATTTGACAAAATTCACACGTACATGCATGTTGTGAATGCCATTAACGCAATGTTTTAAGAATTATTCCTAATATAGCAGTGCCTATAATGCCACTTTTAACAAAACATGCTCTATGCATTTCCAAATGAATGGTTTCTTATGAAGTAAGAAGATAGTATAAGTCATGGAGACATTTAAGAGAAAACACAGGTTTCGTTCGACAGGATGATCATCAGGGGCAGATCAATGCTTATTTGAAAGGAGGGGTGCAGATTTTCCGAGAGGGGTATGCATAGTTATCGTAGCTAAAGTTGCTAGAGCTTTGGAGTAATGCAGATTTTTAGGCTTACAGAAGAGTGTACCACTTGCATAACGAAAATATTATTACCTTTGTCAATGAGCGCGCATTTAGTAATTTATTTCAACTTTAATATTTTCATGAAAACGCACATGGTAATACTCGATTGAAAATGGTGTTGGTATAAAATATATGATTGCGTTTGAAATGAAAAGTTCAACTTTTACTCAGTCTTACTGTAAAACTTCATAACCTCTAATACTGTTATATTAAGCATCTACATTACGTGATCCCATTTTAGAATTTTTCTTAGGAGGGTGCTGGGGAATTTTTTAGGAAGGTGCGCTTCTCCCTGCCACCCCCAAATAATCCGCCCTTGATGATCATGCATGTCCATGCAATTGAAGTATATATCAAGGCACACAGTAACTATGTGTAAGATTGCTCTGTAATATTCATGTAATAATATACGTAGATATGCCAGACAAATTTCAACAATTCGTCAAACAATGTCGACTAATACAGTAAGAAATGGCAACAAAAATTAAGTTTGCATCTGTATCATCTGATCGAGGTAAGCAGTGTATCATCTGATCGAGGAAATTCTTTATGTGTGCAGTACATATTCCAGTGTTTGCAGTTCTCATAGCCAGTTCAAAATTACCAGTGGAAAAATATCTCTACACCGAAGGACTGAATATCGGAAAACCAGGTCCACCTTGCAAAATACTATGGACAATAATTGTTCCGATATATTTCATAATTCCTGATGCAACAACACCAGCATTATATACTGGACTTTGGTAGGCATCACCTTCAAAAAATATTTCACTCACTTTATTGAGCAAATTTATAAAAAACTGCCCGGCGACCCCTCCAGTATCAACTGCTGTTTGTCCTTTGTAAATAACTCTCACATTTACAAGCAATGCCCCAAAAAGAAAAGCTTTTCTCACATATAACAACCTTGAGTTTCCTGCCCCTGGTGAAACAAGATGGTATTATCGCTCTAGATTGTATTGCACAAAAACTATGAAAAACTTTTAGATATTTTGAGGGGTACTTGAACAACCAGCTGAATGGGATGATGAAAATAAGTGGCTTACTGCATTATCTTGATACTTTGTTTTCAAGTGTGTGTTTTTACAGGATTTTAGAAAAGTCCGCAATTTTGTATTCCATTCTTCAAAATAGGGAAACCCATTTTAATTATGGCATAAACAAGATTGACAATTTCAAGCAGTTTATTGTATCACTTCGCACAGATCAAGCTTTTACCGAGTTTTATCAAACTGCACTAGAAAAGTAAGCCCACCAGCAACCAGAGCAGATAGTACATACAATTACAAACAGCTTTATTTTAAGATTACTGATTCCATTAAAGGCATATTAAGTGAAAGATTTCAAGATATAAACCAGTTCGAGTTTTTAGATCTTGTAAATCCTAAACTATTTACTACATGGAAGGGCATAGTTCCAGGAGAATTTAAATCTTCTCAAAGATAAGTATAGTCCTCTTTTGACATCCAAACTTTGAGAGTCAACTTTCCTTCATTTACAACGACAAGGACTTTCACAAAGAGTGCAGTAATGAGGTGCTTAAATACATCTACAAATTTAAGCTCCAGTCAAGTTTACATCAAGTGGTAAATTTGTTAAAATTGAATGGTGTCTTGGCAGTGGAAAGTGAGTCAGTAGAGATGTCGTTTTCTTGCTTGAAAAGGGTAAAAAGCTATTTGAGCAATAGAATAGGTCAAGGTCGGCTTAGCTCTTTGTGTAGAATATCTATTCACAAAGATATCATTGAACAAAAAGAGGAATCAGGAATAAGGTGGTTGAAAAATTTGTAGACAAACAAATGATAAGTATAGCAGTGTGCGAATTAGTTGAAAAAAAACGATGTGCAATTTTTTTTGACAAAAATAATGAAATCGATATTAGGCTGATTATTATACAGCGCTAATTGCTAAATTAATCATGTTTACGACAGTGTTTTTCTTTACAACCGCTGATCCAGTTACAAGTCTATGAGAAATTTTTTGCGCATGTAATTCTATCCTCTTTTTTTTGTGCAAACTCTACAGCACAATAAATTCACCTATTGGCCATCATCCTAGTACTCAAGCGAGTCAGCATTTAATGTTTCCATTTATTTTTTACTGTATTAACTTTGCTGGTAGCTACAACCTTTCGACAAGATGGCAAGATAGACAAAGTGAAAAGAGAAACACTGAATATACTTTTGTCTTCTGATTATTAACAGTAACATCCTTGATGTTTACTTACACTAAAAAAACATCATATTTATGTCATATTACAAGCAATATGTAAAATAAAAATATGGCTGCTCAAGGTTGCCAATTTGCCTTAATATTTTGAGCCAAATTTGGCTTTTTTTCTCACGTTAGGCTCATTTAAAATCAAAATTCCTTTGGTTTATTTTTCAAATTTGGCTTATTTAAGTTTTTTTTGTCTTTTTTTAAGAGTCAAAATGAAACTTTTTCCTGATTTTATCGAAAATATTTAAAATAGCTATGATGCCAAAAACAGTACGTAACAGTGTACAAAACAACGCAAATGCAAAAATTGACATTAATAATGTATTACACCACTATTGTCATAAGCATATAAGCACCATGTATGTTGAGTGTTTCAGACTTACCAGTCTCAAAGTGACAACATCTTTTAATTTGATGACATTGTGTCGACACGGCCTAAGATTTTAATGTCATGCAGCCCACTCGTTTGTAAAGTAAAGATCAGTAAAGATTAAACTTGAAAACCTTTTTCAATTTATGTGGTAATAATCAATAACGACTTTTTTTGCATATTGTTTGAAAAAGTGATAAGCAATTTGTTTTCATTTTAGCCAAAACGATTTGCAAATTACACATTGCACACCGTTAATTCGCACACTGTGGTATAGTATTTTTTTTTATATTTACTTTTATATTGCATGGTACTTCAATTAGAAAATGAAGCTTGACTTTAAAGAATAAAGCCATCCCTGTCTACCTGCCCCAATCTAAATAAGTGTAAACTAAAAAGTGGAATGCTAAGAACAACCTCTACCTATGCATTTTAGGAAGTGTCGTATACTATGTTATTTTTTGTGCTAATCCAAATTTCTTCTGTCTATTCAGGGGCATTGATGAGTTCGATTCACTATGTTTTAGGGGACAATTGTCTCCTGCGTAACGTTTCTCTGAGCCACCTTTATAGTACTTTTTTAACTAGTTTCAGTTTCGACGATTGCTACATTAAGAATGCAGCTAATAAAACTTATTGTTTTTACAACTTATTGTACAACAAATAATTTGCCTCCAAATCGCAGGAAATGCTGTTTCCAAGGCTCTGAATTCAAAATTTCTCCCCAGACCCCTTGTGGAGGTGGGCGGGAGTTACTATTTTTCCTGGCTACGCCAATGGTAAAAAGAAGTCATTCTACGATTTTCAAAAGGATTTGACGGATCTCTTGTCATGCCTGTTCTTCATATAATTGCAAAAATAAATTGATCACAACAAATCATTCAGACAGGTCAAACAGTTAATGCAACTGCTTTTAGGCGTTCAATAATTCCGCTCGTCTCTAAAAAATCTCAAAATTGTTGAAGACGGAAGGAAATTATCGTCTTCTTTACGGTGTTTTACCTTTTCAATAAAAGGTTTTCTACAATGAAACACAGTTTAGTCATTCCACGAGACAGTCATATAAAATTTAAAACATAGTTCATCCGTACATTTTTTATTATATGGGTCTTTTAACTCGGCCAAAACAAATAAAAAAATGTTTAACTAAACTGTTCACTTTGTTGCAGTTCAAGTTAAGCTCTCAGCATTAATTTCAATATATAATTGATTCGAAACTTTTGATATATTTAATGAATTTGTGCATTTATCGGTTCAAATGTCATCAACAATTGATTGCCTACGAATTGCATATATTTGTAGACAACACCTTTAAAACGTATGAGTTCTCTTTGGCTGACAAAAACAGGATTAGACATATCTCACAAACACGACGGTGAACACTGTTACCGCAACTGATTTTATAAAGCAGAAAAGCCATTTGTATTTTAATGTGTGCATCGATTTAAGTTGTTGAGCATCGCAACAGAATATAAAATGCGCACAAAATACATCATTTAAAGACCTTTTGTGCATTGCTAATTATGGCACATCTTAACTATTTTCACAAGGTAAAGCGTAAATGAAATTTTATCCATCGGTACAAGTCCGTGGTTGAGGGAAAATGAGTGTAATTTAGTTTAGAGAAGATGCATTGTGCATTCAAATATAAGGAAATTAAAGATGTTCCACATGTGGTTTCATCAGTTAGTGACTGATAACAAAGGGATTCGTGTTGAAATTTAAAAATATCCACTCACTGCAACTGACATGTTGCAATTAAACTCCATTAAACTTTGACTTTTAGTATTATTGGAGTTCGATAGAATTATTTGAGGGCATCTTTCCGATAAAGCAAGTCGTATCCAAGCTTGTAATTATTCGCTGTTTTTTTGAACAAATTTTGATCCCCAACAATTAAATAATTCTCGTATAATAATGTCTGAACAACTTGAATTAAATCTTATATAATATAAGTTATGAGTGAATTGTGTAATCTCGCAAACATGACTGGAAAATCGAAACGAATTTTTGAACTTAGTAGTCTCATTGATAATATACAAAATTATACCACGCCTTTTTGTCGTGCAAATTACATACAGGGCACTTTATTCATGCAAGCGACGTCCTCACCCCTTCCTAATCTTATGACCTATGTTACAGCCCTGGAAAATCCCAGAGTATCAGAGAATCTACACGAAAACCCTCCTTTTGTCCATCACTTTCCTGTATATTTTCCCATAAACACCACATCTTCTTTCACTGATTTTCACGATTTCTCAATATTCTTTCTTTCTCTGACACTTACGAGTAAATGATCCACAAAAGCCTTCTCATACCTAAGTTTGAACCTCTCTAAACACCCAATGTTAAACATACTTAAGTATATCTTTTTTTCTAAGCGTCATATTTCTCCTTGTTTTGTCCTGTCACGATGTCACCCAAATTAAAGTTAAACTGAACTATCATACAGCCATCATCCGTTCATTCAATATCTTCACCATTTATGAATAAAAATAAATAATACATCTTAAAACTATTGAAGACGGAAGTAAATACCTTTCTAACACCAAAGTTAATTCAGCTGTTATTTCAATCGTTTTTCACAATTTCAACTTTCTTGTAATAGAATTGTCGCGTTAATCACTGTCCGCTGTAGGTTGTCAAATTTCTACAATCAAAAACACGGTTTCTTTGATTCTCGTATGATACATTTATCGTTGAGAGAGGTGTTCATTGTGTAAGCAAATAATGCTTCTTGGTGATGAATTTTTTTAATCATTGTACAACTTAAAGCATAATTAATAAACCTTACTGCGTGTTCTTTACTTGACCAAGATCTGTAAGAAAATTATAAATTTAACTGTTGCTTTGGCTCTGTAGCTCTTGGCAATGAAATTTAATGTCTTCCAAATCAACTGATGCATTTTATGCTTTAGTGAATTTATTGGTTCATCGGTCATCCACAATAGACTACCTATATATAGATATGAGGGATTTATAGAATACATACCTTAAACTCACAAGTACTTTTTGGCCAACAAAAAATGTTCTGTCTTTTGTTACAGCCTAAAGAAACATGATAGTGAATATAGCTTACATCTTGTCATTTATGTTCTTGTTGATTAGAAAAATATGTTGTGTTTTTCAGAAAGTGGACTTTGGTCGTTTGATATTGCAACGGAATATATAATGTTCACATGCTGTGACGCCCTAAAAACTCTTGTGTATAAACTATTCACTGTCCGCTGTAGGTTGTCAAATTTCTACAATCAAAAACACGGTTTTCTTTGATTCTCGTATGATACATTTATCGTTGAGAGAGGTGTTCATTGTGTAAGCAAATAATGCTTCTTGGTGATGAATTTTTTTTTAATCATTGTACAACTTAAAGCATAATTAATAAACTCCTTACTGCGTGTTCTTTTACTTGACCAAGATCTGTAAGAAAAATTATAAATTTAACTGTTGCTTTGGCTCTGTAGCTCTTGGCAATGAAATTTAATGTCTTCCAAATCAACTGATGCATTTTATGCTTTAGTGAATTTATTGGTTCATCGGTCATCCACAATAGACTACATATATATAGATATGAGGGATTTATAGAATACATACCTTAAACTCACAAGTACTTTTTGGCCAACAAAAAATGTTCTGTCTTTTGTTACAGCCTAAAGAAACATGATAGTGAATATAGCTTACATCTTGTCATTTATGTTCTTGTTGATTAGAAAAATATGTTGTGTTTTTCAGAAAGTGGACTTTGGTCGTTTGATATTGCAACAGAATATATAATGTTCACATGCTATGAAGCTCTAAAAACTCTTGTATATGAACTATTTCAATAACGCAGAGCATATATGAAACTTTATCATCAGCTGAAGTCCTTTTTATTCCAATACTTTTTTTAGCCGAGAATAGATAACCGTGGTTTCAATTGTCAGAAGGCACAATCACTGTTGAAAAGGAGTAGAGTAAACCTTAAAATACCGACTTGATAACTTTGATGAAACTGAAAGGTATTCGGTATATTTAATGATGTTTTAAGCGTTAAACTTTGATCAAACTTCATCGACTTCTAGTTTTATTTGAATTCAATGCACTCGCTGCAACTGACATGTTGCAATTAAACTCAATCAAAATTTGACTTCTAGGTTTATTTGAATTCAATGCACGAGATGATGACCGAGATGATGACAATGCAAACTCTTTTTAAATTTCCGAATAAGTACATTGAAATATAAACAACTTAGTAAAATTGAAATTATAATACAATTGAAATTATTTGTCAATAAGACAATTGAAATTATTTGTCAAACTTATATGCATTGATGCTCAATGGTTTGATATATCAGGTGGCAGTGCGCGGTGCGCCCTGACATTTTACTTTACTTTTTTTAACCCAATGCGCCTTAACTTGTTTAAGAGGACTTTTGTAGCTTGACAGGTTAACAAAAGTAATGTATCAGCTATTTTAAATACTGAGAACCGATTAAGCACTGCATCCTGATATTTACTCAACCCTATGTAATCTCTTACAGTTGCTTTGTTTACCATGAATGACCTGCTATACTATTGATTATCAGTTAAGACTGAGGTTTTATAGTTTTTGCTTAAACCATGCAAAACAATGTGTACTGGGTATATAGCAGTGTATCATCTGATCGAGGAAATTCTTTATGTGTGCAGTACATATTCCAGTGTTTGCAGTTCTCATAGCCAGTTCAAAATTACCAATTGAAAAATATTTGTACAAGGATTGAATATCGGAAAACCAGGTCCACCTTTGCAAAATACTATGGACAATAATTGTTCCGATATATTTCATAATTCCTGATGCAACAACACCAGCATTATATACTGGACTTTGGTAGGCATCACCTTCAAAAAATATTTCACTCACTTTATTGAGCAAATTTATAAAAAACTGCCCGGCGACCCCTCCAGTATCAACTGCTGTTTGTCCTTTGTAAATAACTCTCACATTTACAAGCAATGCTTTTCTCACATATAACAACCTTGAGTTTCCTGCCCCTGGTGAAACAAGATGGTATTATCGCTCTAGATTGTATTGCACAAAAACTATGAAAAACTTTTAGATCTTTTTGAGGGGGTACTTGAACAACCAGCTGAATGGGATGATGAGTGATTAAGTAAAATAAGTGGCTTACTGCATTATCTTGATAGCTCTTTTGTTTTCTAGTGTGTGTTTTTTACAGGATTTTAGAAAAGTCCGCAATTTTGTATTCCATTCTTCAAAATAGGGAAACCCATTTTAATTATTGTATAAGCAAGATTAACAATTTCAAGCAGTTTATCGCATCACTTCGCACAGATCAAGCTTTTACCGAGTTTTATCAAACTGCACTAGAAAAAGTAAGCCCACCAGCAACCAGAGCAGATAGTACATACAATTACAAACAGCTTTATTTTAAGATTATTGATTCCATTAAAGGCATATTAAGTGAAAGATTTCAAGATATAAACCAGTTCGAGTTTTTAGATCTTGTAAATCCTAAACTATTTACTACATGGAAGGGCATAGTTCCACAGGAGAATTTAAATCTTCTCGAAGATAAGTATAGTCCTCTTTTTGACATCCAAACTTTGGAGAGTCAACTTTCCTTCATTTACAACGACAAGGACTTTCACAAAGAGTGCAGTAATGAGGTGCTTAAATACATCTACAAATTTAATCTCCAGTCAAGTTTACATCAAGTGGCAAATTTGTTAAAATTGAATGGTGTCTTGGCAGTGGCAAGGGCGTCAGTAGATATGTCGTTTTCCTGCTTGAAAAGGGTAAAAAGCTATTTGAGCAATAGAATAGGTCAAGGTCGGCTTAGCTCTTTGTGTAGAATATCTATTCACAAAGATATCATTGAACAAAAAGAGGAATCAGGAATAAGGTGGTTGAAAAATGTGTAAACAAACAAATGATAAGAATAGCAGTGTGCGAATTAGTTGAAAAAAAAAACGATGTGCAATTTTTTTTGACAAAAATAATGAAATTGATATTAGGCTGATTATTATACAGCGCTAATTGCTAATTTGATTATATTTACGACAGCGTTTTTCTTTACAACCGCTGATCCAGTTACAAATCTATGAGAAATTTTTTGCGCATGTAATTCTATCCTCTTTTTTTTGTGCAAATTTTACAGCACAATAAATTCACCTATTGGCCATCATCCTAGTACTCAAGCGAGTCAGCATTTAATGTTTCCATTTATTTTTTACTGTATTAACTTTGCTGGTAGCTACAACCTTTCGACAAGATGGCAAGATAGACAAAGTGAAAAGAGAAACACTGAATATACTTTTGTCTTCTGATTATTAACAGTAACATCCTTGATGTTTACTTACACTAAAAAAACATCATATTTATGTTATATTACAAGCAATATGTAAAAATAAAAAATATGGCTGCTCAAGGTTGCCAATTTGCCTTAATATTTTGAGCCAAATTTGGCTTCTTTTTTCTCACGTTAGGCTCATTTAAAATCAAAATTCCCTTTGGTTTATTTTTCAAATTTGGCTTATTTAAGTTTTTTTTGTCTTTTTTTAAGAGTCAAAATGAAACTTTTTCCTGATTTTATCGAAAATATTTAAAATAGCTATGATGCCAAAAACAGTACGTAACAGTGTACAAAACAACGCAAATGCAAAAATTGACATTAATAATGTATTACACCACTATTGTCATAAGCATATAAGCACCATGTATGTTGAGTGTTTCAGACTTACCAGTCTCAAAGTGACAACATCTTTTAATTTGATGACATTGTGTCGACACGGCCTAAGATTTTAATGTCATGCAGCCCACTCGTTTGTAAAGTAAAGATCAGTAAAGATTAAACTTGAAAACCTTTTTCAATTTATGTGGTAATAATCAATAACGACTTTTTTTGCATATTGTTTGAAAAAGTGATAAGCAATTTGTTTTCATTTTAGCCAAAACGATTTGCAAATTACACATTGCACACCGTTAATTCGCACACTGTGGTATAGTATTTTTTTTTATATTTATTTTTATATTGCATGGTACTTCAATTAGAAAATGAAGCTTGACTTTAAAGAATAAAGCCATCCCTGTCTACCTGCCCCAATCTAAATAAGTGTAAACTAAAAAGTGGAATGCTAAGAACAACCTCTACCTATGCATTTTAGGAAGTGTCGTATACTATGTTATTTTTTGTGCTAAATAAGTGTAAACTAAAAAGTGGAATGCTAAGAACAACCTCTACCTATGCATTTTAGGAAGTGTCGTATACTATGTTATTTCTTCTGCTATTCAGGGGCATTGATGAGTTCGATTCACTATGTTTTAGGGGACAATTGTCTCCTGCGTAACGTTTCTCTGAGCCACCTTTATAGTACTTTTTTAACTATTTTCAGTTTCGACGATTGCTACATTAAGAATGCAGCTAATAAAAACTTATTGTTTTTACAACTTATTGTACAACAAATAATTTGCCCTCCAAATCGCAGGAAATGCTGTTTCCAAGGCTCTGGAATTCAAAATTTCTCCCCAGACCCCCTTGTGGAGGTGGGCGGGAGTTACTATTTTTCCTGGCTACGCCAATGGTAAAAAGAAGTCATTCTACGATTTTCAAAAGGATTTGACGGATCTCTTGTCATGCCTGTTCTTCATATAATTGCAAAAATAAATTGATCACAACAAATCATTCAGACAGGTCAAACAGTTAATGCAACTGCTTTTAGGCGTTCAATAATTCCGCTCGTCTCTAAAAAATCTCAAAATTGTTGAAGACGGAAGGAAATTATCGTCTTCTTTACGGTGTTTTACCTTTTCAATAAAAGGTTTTCTACAATGAAACACAGTTTAGTCATTCCACGAGACAGTCATATAAAATTTAAAACATAGTTCATCCGTACATTTTTATTATATGGGTCTTTTAACTCGGCCAAAACAAATAAAAAATGTTTAACTATACTGTTCACTTTGTTGCAGTTCAAGTTAAGCTCTCAGCATTAATTTCAATATATAATTGATTCGAAACTTTTGATATATTTAATGAATTTGTGCATTTATCGGTTCAACTGTCATCAACAATTGATTGCCTACGAATTGCATATATTTGTAGACAACACCTTTAAAACGTATGAGTTCTCTTTGGCTGACAAAACAGGATTAGACATATCTCACAAACACGACGGTGAACACTGTTACCGCAACTGATTTTATAAAGCAGAAAAAGCCATTTGTATTTTAATGTGTGCATCGATTTAAGTTGTTGAGCATCGCAACAGAATATAAAATGCGCACAAAATACATCATTTAAAGACCTTGTGCATTGCTAATTATGGCACATCTTAACTATTTTCACAAGGTAAAGCGTAAATGAAATTTTATCCATCGGTACAAGTCCGTGGTTGAGGGAAAATGAGTGTAATTTAGTTTAGAGAAGATGCATTGTGCATTCAAATATAAGGAAATTAAAGATGTTCCACATGTGGTTTCATCAGTTAGTGACTGATAACAAAGGGATTCGTGTTGAAATTTAAAAATATCCACTCACTGCAACTGACATGTTGCAATTAAACTCCATTAAACTTTGACTTTTAGTATTATTGGAGTTCGATAGAATTATTTGAGGGCATCTTTCCGATAAAGCAAGTCGTATCCAAGCTTGTAATTATTCGCTGTTTTTTGAACAAATTTTGATCCCCAACAATTAAATAATTCTCGTATAATAATGTCTGAACAACTTGAATTAAATCTTATATAATATAAGTTATGAGTGAATTGTGTAATCTCGCAAACATGACTGGAAAATCGAAACGAATTTTTGAACTTAGTAATCTCTTTGATAATATACAAAATTATACCACGCCTTTTTGTCGTGCAAATTACATACAGGGCACTTTATTCATGCAAGCGACGTCCTCACCCCTTCCTAATCTTATGACCTATGTTACAGCCCTGGAAAATCCCAGAGTATCAGAGAATCTACACGAAAACCCTCCTTTTGTCCATCACTTTCCTGTATATTTTCCCATAAACACCACATCTTCTTTCACTGATTTTCACGATTTCTCAATATTCTTTCTTTCTCTGACACTTACGAGTAAATGATCCACAAAAGCCTTCTCATACCTAAGTTTGAACCCTCTCTAAACACCCAATGTTAAACATACTTAAGTATATCTTTCTTTTTTTTCTAAGCGTCATATTTCTCCTTGTTTTTGTCCTGTCACGATGTCACCCAAATTAAAGTTAAACTGAACTATCATACAGCCATCATCCGTTCATTCAATATCTTCACCATTTATGAATAAAAAATAAATAATACATCTTAAAACTATTGAAGACGGAAGTAAATACCTTTCTCTAACACCAAAGTTAATTCAGCTGTTATTTCAATCGTTTTTCACAATTTCAACTTTCTTGTAATAGAATTGTCGCGTTAATCACTGTCCGCTGTAGGTTGTCAAATTTCTACAATCAAAAACACGGTTTTCTTTGATTCTCGTATGATACATTTATCGTTGAGAGAGGTGTTCATTGTGTAAGCAAATAATGCTTCTTGGTGATGAATTTTTTTTTAATCATTGTACAACTTAAAGCATAATTAATAAACTCCTTACTGCGTGTTCTTTTACTTGACCAAGATCTGTAAGAAAAATTATAAATTTAACTGTTGCTTTGGCTCTGTAGCTCTTGGCAATGAAATTTAATGTCTTCCAAATCAACTGATGCATTTTATGCTTTAGTGAATTTATTGGTTCATCGGTCATCCACAATAGACTACATATATATAGATATGAGGGATTTATAGAATACATACCTTAAACTCACAAGTACTTTTGGCCAACAAAAATGTTCTGTCTTTGTTACAGCCTAAAGAAACATGATAGTGAATATAGCTTACATCTTGTCATTTATGTTCTTGTTGATTAGAAAAATATGTTGTGTTTTTCAGAAAGTGGACTTTGGTCGTTTGATATTGCAACAGAATATATAATGTTCACATGCTATGAAGCTCTAAAAACTCTTGTATATGAACTATTTCAATAACGCAGAGCATATATGAAACTTTATCATCAGCTGAAGTCCTTTTTATTCCAATACTTTTTTTAGCCGAGAATAGATAACCGTGGTTTCAATTGTCAGAAGGCACAATCACTGTTGAAAAGGAGTAGAGTAAAACTTAAAAATACCGACTTGATAACTTTGATGAAACTGAAAGGTATTCGGTATATTTAATGATGTTTTAAGCGTTAAACTTTGATCAAACTTCATCGACTTCTAGTTTTATTTGAATTCAATGCACTCGCTGCAACTGACATGTTGCAATTAAACTCAATCAAAATTTGACTTCTAGGTTTATTTGAATTCAATGCACGAGATGATGACCGAGATGATGACAATGCAAACTCTTTTTAAATTTCCGAATAAGTACATTGAAATATAAACAACTTAGTAAAATTGAAATTATAATACAATTGAAATTATTTGTCAATAAGACAATTGAAATTATTTGTCAAACTTATATGCATTGATGCTCAATGGTTTGATATATCAGGTGGCAGTGCGGTGCGCCCTGACATTTTACTTTACTTTTTTTAACCCAATGCGCCTTAACTTGTTTAAGAGGACTTTTGTAGCTTGACAGGTTAACAAAAGTAATGTATCAGCTATTTTAAATACTGAGAACCGATTAAGCACTGCATCCTGATATTTACTCAACCCTATGTAATCTCTTACAGTTGCTTTGTTTACCATGAATGACCTGCTATACTATTGATTATCAGTTAAGACTGAGGTTTTATAGTTTTTGCTTAAACCATGCAAAACAATGTGTACTGGGTATATAGCAGTGTATCATCTGATCGAGGAAATTCTTTATGTGTGCAGTACATATTCCAGTGTTTGCAGTTCTCATAGCCAGTTCAAAATTACCAATTGAAAATATTTGTACAAGGATTGAATATCGGAAAACCAGGTCCACCTTGCAAAATACTATGGACAATAATTGTTCCGATATATTTCATAATTCCTGATGCAACAACACCAGCATTATATACTGGACTTTGGTAGGCATCACCTTCAAAAAATATTTCACTCACTTTATTGAGCAAATTTATAAAACTGCCCGGCGACCCTCCAGTATCAACTGCTGTTTGTCCTTTGTAAATAACTCTCACATTTACAAGCAATGCCCCAAAAAGAAAAGCTTTTCTCACATATAACAACCTTGAGTTTCCTGCCCCTGGTGAAACAAGATGGTATTATCGCTCTAGATTGTATTGCACAAAAACTATGAAAAACTTTTAGATCTTTTTGAGGGGGTACTTGAACAACCAGCTGAATGGGATGATGAGTGATTAAGTAAAATAAGTGGCTTACTGCATTATCTTGATAGCTTTCTCTTTTGTTTTCTAGTGTGTGTTTTTTACAGGATTTTAGAAAAGTCCGCAATTTTGTATTCCATTCTTCAAAATAGGGAAACCCATTTTAATTATTGTATAAGCAAGATTAACAATTTCAAGCAGTTTATCGCATCACTTCGCACAGATCAAGCTTTTACCGAGTTTTATCAAACTGCACTAGAAAAGTAAGCCCACCAGCAACCAGAGCAGATAGTACATACAATTACAAACAGCTTTATTTTAAGATTATTGATTCCATTAAAGGCATATTAAGTGAAAGATTTCAAGATATAAACCAGTTCGAGTTTTTAGATCTTGTAAATCCTAAACTATTTACTACATGGAAGGGCATAGTTCCACAGGAGAATTTAAATCTTCTCGAAGATAAGTATAGTCCTCTTTTTGACATCCAAACTTTGGAGAGTCAACTTTCCTTCATTTACAACGACAAGGACTTTCACAAAGAGTGCAGTAATGAGGTGCTTAAATACATCTACAAATTTAATCTCCAGTCAAGTTTACATCAAGTGGCAAATTTGTTAAAATTGAATGGTGTCTTGGCAGTGGAAAGTAGTCAGTAGATATGTCGTTTTCCTGCTTGAAAAGGGTAAAAGCTATTTGAGCAATAGAATAGGGTCAGGTCGGCTTAGCTCTTTGTGTAGAATATCTATTCACAAAGATATCATTGAACAAAAAGAGGAATCAGGAATAAGGTGGTTGAAAAATGTGTAAACAAACAAATGATAAGAATAGCAGTGTGCGAATTAGTTGAAAAAAAAAACGATGTGCAATTTTTTTTGACAAAAATAATGAAATTGATATTAGGCTGATTATTATACAGCGCTAATTGCTAATTTGATTATATTTACGACAGCGTTTTTCTTTACAACCGCTGATCCAGTTACAAATGTATGAGAAATTTTTTGCGCATGTAATTCTATCCTCTTTTTTTTGTGCAAACTCTACAGCATAATAAATTCACCTCTTGGCCATCATGCTAGTACTCAAACGAGTCAGCATTTAATGTTTCCATTTATTTTTTACTGTATTAACTTTGCTGGTAGCTACAGCCTTTCGACAAGATGGCAAGATAGGCAAAGTGAAAAGAGAAACACCGAATATACTTTTGTCTTCTGATTATTAACAGTAACACCCTTGATATTTACTTACACTAAAAAAACATCATATTTATGTCATATTACAAGCAATATGTAAAAATAAAAATATGGCTGCTCAAGGTTGCCAGTTTGTTTAATATTTTGAGCCAAATTTGGCTTTTTTCTCACTTAGGCTCATTTAAAATCAAAATTCTCTTTGGTTTACTTTTCAAATTTGGCTTATTTAATCTCTAGGCTTACGCACCTGTATAATAGCACTTAATAACAGAAATTGTTCCGGTCAGTTTCAAACCACCAACAAGTTTGCAATCTTTAACAAACAACACAAACAGTTAAGTTCAGTGTGAGCAGTTAGTGTAAACCAATCAATGACAGCAACATTATAGACATACAGCCTTCTCCCCTTGCTCAAATAGTCAATAATTAATATTCACTAGAAAATTATATCTTGCGCAAGCAATGTACACAACATTCTTAAAATAGTCGAACAGTTGTTGATCTTGACAAAAGACAATAAACTTGATGGCCTTTTACTTCAAGCAAGCACGTTCAAATTGCGGAATTTTTTTTACAATTCAACAAAATGTAGAAAGTAGCCTTGAATAATCAATGTTTGCCGAACCATTAAATCAAGGTCCTCGACACAGAATATACAAATACTTTTACATTAAAGATTTTTTTATAAAGCGCGACAACATCTTGAATTCGTGCTTCTTCCACACAAAAGGAAGTCTCTAGAAATACGATGCATGCAATAAGATGAAAGCATGTCTCTGTCTTCATGAATTTTTTCTCGTGCAGAAAAATTTTTTAACCTCAGAGTTAAATTCACACCTCAGAAAAATAAATATAGATATTCAATAAGCATCTTCCACACATACAAGCCGCTATATAAATGCATCAACTTCATAAAAGAAGATAAGATTGAACGCTGTTTGAAATGAAATATTTAAGTAAAGAAATCAAATCAAAATCACAGCATGGCTTTAAAAGTAGCTAACGCACAACAAATGCATTTGTCATAGAAAATTTGCTAACATGACTGTTTTTGTTCGTATGTAAGGTCTGCAAATATAATAAGACAAATCAACCAAATGTGATACGTTGATAAGTACAGACGATCAAAGGAAATTCGCCACATAAAAATTTGACGTAAAGATTTTATTGCCCGTACACACGGGCATGCGAGTATTTGTCACAGAAAATTTGTTCGTATGTAAGGAGCTTTAAATTAGATCATACGTACACACATACTCAACAGGGTAGATAAAGTCTTACACACCTGGATTAAAAGAAATCGTCCAGATCAGTTTTACACCCGAGATGTATGCAAACTATAAAAAACAAAAGATGCAGTTTGGTCGAGTTTTATGTTGATCGCATCAGTAAAAATAACATTTAGTCACATACGTAGTACGGTCAATAATTTTAGGTGATCTACAATACAGCTAATTTTTCCAATCCTTTCTGCACAAGTGAAATAAATTCGTCAAGTTCTGAAAGAAAGTTTTAACGAACATAGACGCTGTTCGATTCAAAACAAACTAGTGACAGCAATATTTATAAATTAACTTAAAGCCACCGAAACACAGTCAATAATTTACATTTTATACAATGTAATAACGCATTACAAATGAGGGTATTTATTGATGACCACGCAAAAATGTGAACATCACGTAGCTTCAAATCATTATTGAATGTTTATAAACAATGGGATTTCTTCTAGCAAACAAATTTCTGGAAGTTACGGTGCTGTGCAAGACATAATGACCTTTCTTGAACTGAATATACTAAATAAAGAGCGAAATGCATTACGACCCTAACGAAAGAATAGTGAAATAATTTGCAGTAGCATCATAAAGTAAATTTCTAAGTTATGTTCAGGTTCATAGGAAAAACATAACACCAATGTATGATACTGACTTTTATATGTAAGAATACAAGAGGCAGTATAAAAGACTGCAGACATGTAAATAAAAGTTAAGAGTTGCCTTTACATAGCTTCATAAGAACTGCCAACCCACGCAATTATCTTGTAACGTATACACCGCGTTTTCTTCTTGTTTGGGTTTCATTACTTGCACCAACTACACTGTACCGTTCACTAAAACTTTTATGCATAAATCCTTTGAAAAATAAAGGTGTCTTTTAAAATCGTGGCCAGAGATTTGCTCAGGCGGAAAGATTAATATGAATATTATTATATACTTTTTAGTTATCACAATAA